ATATACCGTACTTCCCCGAGTATAAGCCCAGGGGCCTGAACATGTAAAATTGGTAAAACCTTGGGTTGGCTTATACTCGAGGACCAACTCAAAAAAAGATAATTTTTTGGTGAGTTTAAAATTATAACCATCTTCACAACCACGAAAAATGATCCAAATTACATTTTTCGTTAACAGCGCTGGTCTCGGAGAAATAATACGTCTTTTTGAGAGAAAAAATGCAAAATGAGTCGTCATTGACTTCCACAACACTTTTTACAATGAAGAAACAAACATGTTCATGTTACAATGCGGTTTACATACTGGATGAATTTACAGTGAAAAATGGGCAGGGTCTGTGGGAAAACAGTCGAAGGCAAGATCTTTATCATTATCTTCGTTGTGAAATGTTTGTGATTGTACGCAAACTCCCGATACAAAGCAATTTCCGCCATGGTGTTTTTTATCATCATTTAACTCAAGCAACTTCCTTTGACCTAAAAGTCGCGTCTTTCGTTAACCAATCAAAATGCTGTATCGTTACAAAGTTTTCCGATTATTGACGAAGTAATTTTCTCAACGCATTGCGGAAGTGAATTACCGCAATGTTAAAATATGATTTTTTTCCCCTAAAAGCTGTTGATTTGCAATTTTCGAAAGTCGTGTCGACGAATAGTTTGCTCGTTCATACCACACCCCATTCACGATAGTCTCAATGGACACGATTATTGGGAAAAGTAAAACGATGTTCAATGACCAGGTTTCATGACTTGACGATCACATTTTGGCGTTTCGAAAACTACTACTTAAAAGAAATATGGATTACTTCAGTATTGCAACATTGGGGTTCATCCTGAGTAAATAACAGAAAAGAAAAGGTGTGAATCTTGTTCTGTACGTTCGCCCATCATGTACCAGTTAAAACACCCTGGGCCTATACTCGGGGATGCCCTCAACTCGTTAAGTGTAAAAAAAACAGGGGTTGGCTTATGCTCAGGGAAGTACAGTATATTAAATTTGATAATTAACATAATTTGATGACTGTGCCATGCATGGCTTATTTTCTATGAACCACCCCTTCAATCGAAAATAAAGTGTTTTACAGTATTTTGTACTCATTGTTTTAATCAGTCGGCTTAATTGTTTATCTGTAGTTATAGAGTAGGGACAGAGAGAGGAGCTACGCTATAATACTTTGGGGTGGGGTAGGGGCACTGAATGGTTTCTGTTTTCATTTCATCTTTGCAATTGACAATCAATAATGTGCTGTTGCAGCTGCAGAACCGATCAAACCCACTGCCAGTGCTGCAAGAACTTTGACCAAACCACGTCCTTCAGCAGCTGACACTAAACCTGTGAGTAAAACTGGATATGGACCAATACCTACAGTTACAGGTAAGTCACTTTGGGTCATTCATCTTAACATCTTTAAGACAATTGTTTGCATATGCATGACAATTCAATAAAATTTGATTTTCATTGCAGCTCCGTTCTGTCAGCGGAGCTGTTCATATAGGTGATTGTCTGTTGTTGTCTACCCGTTGTCCGTCATTAATTGCATTTACGACGACTTCTTGAAAACTACCTGCTCAATTTGTGCATTGCTTGACTTGGCTACTACAATGTCCTTGTATGACAACGGAGCTATTTCAAAAACGAAGAAATTGACAGTTTTGGCAGGAAAAGTTGTAGAGTTTACCGTAGTTGTTCGGGTAAGCACCCAGGGTCTTGAACATGGAAAATTGCCAAAAAATAGGGGTGGGCATATGTCTGGACATCCCCTGCTGAAAAAACGAAAATTCACACAAATTTACCACATGCAGATTGAACTGCAGCAGGGAATGGCAAATGAAAAAAATACATCGGAAATAAATGAACAATATGCAACATTAGATGTATAACAAAAATAATTTATTGCTTATATTGTGACAAATAATAAAAATCAACAGTGAGTTAGGATTTCCCCACCACAAACATGCCCAATACGCGTGAGCTTAAATTAAACTAAAATGTCAGGGGTTAAACTGCATAAAATTATTTCCCGTTTCGACAAATACCGGATTAACAGTCATACACAAACAATAATAATTTACTAATTTACACAGAAAAAATTACGAAAGTTCATAATTGTTTTAAAAAAAATTCTCAGATCTGCCTTGCACGTCAAAGTCAAAACCCACAAAGTCCATGTCTGCGTCACTGTCGCCATCCGACAAAATCCCTACAGCTTCATCCTGAAGTTTGTCGATGTCGTCGCACACAATTTAGACTTTAGCTTGGTATGTCTAATCACAATAAAGAGACAATAAAATGGGGTCACGTGCAAACGACTCTGCTCTATCATCTTTGATATTTAAGCATATGCTTTACTGATTGGAATGACATCACTACTAGTGTTTCATCATAGAGGTCAAGTCATTAGCGTGGCATTGCAAAATTGCTGGCCCCAGTTATGGAATTGCAAGCTACTACCAAATATTTTATAAAGCCAAAACAACATCCTTTCAACCACTCTCCCAGCTACGGGTTGCTACAATATTGCAACATTGGTTTCATTGTCGATGACGCTAAAGCCGAACGAGTGCGTCACTTGTTTCGTGGCTCTCGATACTGTAATATTTTCTTGAATCGTTTCTAAGGAAACATAAACCAAATGGCCACAACATATTTCAAAAAGAGAACTGCCATTTCTGCTTTTAATATACATATTGTAGACTTGCTGACTGTTGTGATTCTGATAAAAAAAATCTTGAAACATAAATGTAAATTACATAAACAGTGATTATTTCGTGTTCACCCCTCGTTTTATGCAATTGTCATTTATATTTCAAGGCTTTTTATCAGACTGCAAGGAAGTCAACAGTTAATACAACAAACAAACAAACAAACAAAAAAGACCCTCTGGGGGTATTCCCAGACATGACCTCAATTTCTTTATTGTATCAATATTTGGGGGTAGCAATTGCCTGGCCATGGGCGCTTACCCTGACAACTATAGTAATTACCTGCATTACTGTAAACTGATTTTATTTCACTAGAGACAGTGAAAATCGCAAAATGTCAAAGTGTCAGTAGTGACTTTCACAAAATGCCATAAAATTATACAGTCGATTTAGACTATGTATATACATTAAAATGCCAGACAATGCAATTGATGATGCTCTTTTTTTTTCAGGTGTGACGTTTTCATCGTTTATGTCTGGTGGTCTACCTTCCACTGTGTTGCCAACATCAGCTGAATCTACACCTGTCCACACTATGTCCACAGTACAGGCGTCTAATATTGTAGCGTACTCGCCTTCATCTAATACCTCAGCGCCATCACCTGTAGGCTCTCCTGTTGATCTTCTGCTCTCACCTAAGCCGAACACGAAGACAAATCCGATCGTACCAGCCGCTGGATCAAACGTGAACACTGTGGATAGCAAGAACTACAGTTCGTCACTTAGCCTGGGTTCTGGAATGTTAGATTTGGATTCCCGGTTGCAACAGGTCATGCAGAATGCGCCCAGTTTACCACAGTCTCTGTTTCATTCTCCAACACGCTCCGGTCAGAGCCCAAGTATTTCAACTCCGCCTTCTCAGAGAACCATGATCCAAACACAGTCTTGGGGGGATTCACCAATATCAGTGACGAGACACCTGCCAGCACTGTCAAGTCCAGCTACATCAACCAGTGGAGGACTAACACCATCTCAGATCTTAGGACTGGTTCAGGCCAATACACAACAACCTGGCAAAACTGAGCCTGGTAAAACAACACCTTCTGGAACTCCGCTTAGAGATGAGGGAGGAACGCCTGTTCAGGATGAAGACACAAAAGTACCCTCACAGTCGAATCCCATAGATTTTCTCTCACAACTGATCACATCAACAAGAAATGCACAAGGGGGGAATACGAGTTCTAATTTCCTTAGTGGGTTAGCCGCTCTCACAGAAACCATGAAAAGTGCAATGAGAAAACAACAATTGGGGGGCTCAAAATCAAATTGGCCTGAAACTGAGGGTGGTTTTCCTCCACTGGGACTCGATCCAAATAATCCACTGTCTGAATCCATAGCATCTATTGCGACACATAGCCTTACATCTACCGCAGCCTCCATTATGACATCAGCTTCAACACATGTACTGACAACTCCACCGACAAACATACTGACATCACAACCACCACAGACTCTGAAATCACCCGCGTCCATGTATACCCAAGCAGTTCCAACATCATTTCCGCCTCCAGTAGTATCACCTGTTCAATTGTTTTCTCCTACTGGCATGTTTCCTGAACCGATATCGGCAATGCAAACTCCTCTTGGACAGATGCCAGTTGTGGTATCCACTGTTCTTACATCAACGAGTACAGCATCAACTGCAGCATCAATTGACAGCATCACACAAAACCCTGTGGCTTCTGATCACCATTCTGGAATGGAAAATTCACACGATGTTCAAAGCATTATACCGGTGTCATCGATAAACCAATCAGTATCTGCCGCAGTCAGCATGTCTGAAAACATTACAACGAATTACCCCACGACTGCCCAACATGAAAGCTTTGATACACTAGCTGTGTCGGTTTCTCAACCGTCAACAGAGGAACAGCCTGAGCCTCAAATAGAAACAATGGAAAACAGTATCCCTGTAGTTGAGCCAACATCTCCAATACCTGTACTTGGAGGTAGCCGTGGTGGTTTTCCGCGCCAGCAGAGCAGCCTACAGATGCTGTAGGATTAGAAGCATCGAGTCAGATAAAAATACAAGAGACTTCTCTTGGAGGTGGTGATACAAACTCAACATTGTCAGCTGACACAGAAGGTAACCCGATTCCATCGTATTCTGTTAGCGCAGTCCCAAGTTTAACATCAGTGTATGGCACACCTCAAATGAGCTCTAGTCTTGGCAAGCAGGATTATGGACAGAGTAATCAGATACAACCTGCAAGCTTCAGCGCCCAGAGTTTTACTCCTGTTCAACCGATTGAGCGACTTGACAGGACATACGATAACAGACAATCGATTAATGTTGTGCAGCAAAATGCCCTGGATCCAACAGAATATGCCCGACTGTATGGTAGATCATTTAACCAAAATAGTAACTTTCCTCAGCGTGATTACGACCCGTATAGGCGAGGGGCTGCAATAAGTACGCTGGATCGCAGTAGACAATACTCGGCATCTTGGAGGGGGGATTCCAGGTATGCGAGACATGATCCGTACTACGACTTTGATTATCGGTACCATCCACAGGGAGGTCCTAGAAGGATGCGACCGTACAGATATTAAAGTTAGATTCAGTACCAAAAAAGTTTTATATATTAAGAGACGCATTCATGGTTGTCAACTTTGTTGGTTAACGTACTCTGGATAGTTTAATAGTTTTAAATTTTAATCATGTGTATTTCACAGCGATGTAAATATTTGATAGCGTACTATGTGCAAATTCGCATTGTAGTAAATTCTAGAGTTGTTCTCTCAGTCAAAAATAAACACATTTCCCCTGTATATCTTCTCCATCCTGAAACTTGCAGGTTTAAAACTTTCCTTCAAGTTTTTTTCTTATTTTTCCCATAAACAGAATTGCATTTTATTGTTTCTTTCCACCTTTCAGCAATAGCTTATATTGTTTTTTTTTTGTAAAAAAAAAGTTGCGTGAAGTTTTTGAAAGCTACCAGAGATATGGACATTTTTAGAAATAATCTTGTGTTTACGGCACAGGCTCCCTGCAAGTTTTCGTCTTGCTTGCTGTGACTGGATTTTCATCAATACAAATGTAAGGAACATTATTAAGACATGTACTTTTGATAGAATCTGAGACGATAAGAATGAAAAACTTTTCTACAGTCCAACCCATGCTTTGTATCAACATTCCATACGCATGTATTAACTCGCACATGTTTTCACCATCCTCCTCTAGTTTCTCAGTTAAGAAAGGATGTCCCAGAATGCATTTGGATCAGTCTCATGACTCCATGTCTATTATTTTATTAATAAATCAGTGTTATCAATTGTTTTCAATTGTAAAGCAACTACAATCTGAGTTTGTTCATCCTCCCCCGCTGTTCTTTGTTATTTCTGTATTGAATTATTATGTTGAGCAATCATGATTTATTTCATTCTAGTTTCTATGTTTTTTTGCGGTAGTTATTAAACATCTGTGTAATACTGCCCTCAACTAAAGAACATTGATATTATTAGACATTTTGTGCACCGATGATGTATGTTGATTATGTAGTTTGGGACAAAGTATACGTGTCGGTTATAATGCCATCACTTGGTTTTATATTGGATCAATACGTGGAAGCACTTAGATGCAATATTATTCCTCTATAAATAATTTAATGTTTCTGTTAGTGTAATGCTGCCCTCTATCAGTCATTGCTCTGTTGACTGCCCTCTCTAGGTGAGTATTTTGTTTATCTGAGTGTTTTTAGTGATGCCCTCTATGTGAGAATATTGTTTAGCTGACCATTTGTATACCGGTAATTCACTTGACGTTTGTTGTCATACTGCCCTTTGCTCTGTATTGTTTACTTTGCTTAATTCAGTCCTTTATGAATGCTGCTGTAATATCCTCCGAGTGGAAAGTACCTGACCTATTGGTATAATGCTGCCCTCTATCAACAAGTAAATACATAAAGCTGCCCTCTATAGCATTTACCAGTTAGTATAATGCTGCCACTATTGGGATTGTTTACCTGATTCACTGTGACCATGTTGCCTCTATCAAGAACTGTATAACCCATTGGTGTAATGCTGTCCTCTATCGACAAGTATTGACATAAAGCTGCTCTTTGTCGGCGAGGATCTCGTACCACCAATTTGCCCATCAGTGCATTGACACGTAGATCGCCGCAAACCTGAATAGCGCCACCTGTGTTGACACATTGCCATCAGTGTTAAAATCGTATGGTTGTTAGCCAATGGGCTGTTTTCGCTGTTTTTTATCTGAAATTTGATGTGTGATGGCGTACGTCGATCACATTTTTTGTGTTTTCGTTGACATCAGTTTTGTAAGAGTCTCAGCTGGCTAATGCGTTTTTTTTTTTTTCTGGCCAGGGTTTCATTATATACTTGCAAATTAAAATAATGTTGATCTTTGTAACCCGTTTAACTGGACTTATGGACTACTTTCATAGAAGTCTAAGATACAGCATTTTGCATGC